AGAACTGTTTCACCAGCATACCTTGAGACGTAACCAACATAGCACATAACCGTGCAATCAGCTAATCAACAGCAACCTCCCCAACTTGGCTCAAAGCCATATATAAAGACACCCTTAACAATTCATAACACTTTTACTCTAATGATGCCACTATGCCACAGTGAGATTAAACTCAAGTCCTGTACAAGTTTGTGAAAACACAGATCATCTAGTACTGAAATCCTCTACAACCCTCGCATTCATCCCCACATCAACTGAGTCCACTCTCTTAAGCGACCCGAATTCTCAAATTTCAACACATACCCTTCCATTACACATGAGGTCTACCAACATACACATAAGGATCATACCACTCAAGAACACTCCGTAGGAGTTAACCCACCTGCTTCGCCTCAATTTAGTACTTCAGCATACCTTCCACTATCATATGCGTTACACAATCAATTTAGACTACCTGAGCTTGAACTCATACCGCCACATGTATTGCACTTTACCTCTCAACTAGGAGATACAAAAAATATTCATCCTGCGCCCATAATTCGGGCTACACATCAAGCCACAATAGGAATCGAATCACTTAACAGTCCATCTATTATCCTGCAGACTTCTTCGTCACTATCAAGTCATATAATTACATCCCCCAGTACTAACATACTCCTCACATGGATATCCAACCGCCATTCCGGCTAATAAGGACAATACCGAACATGTAAGTTCAAAATATTTGCTCACACAATCAGCACCTCAGTGCTCGAGCCATAGGCAACGATCCGGCCTCAAGTCCTCCAGACTGGCCCATCATACTCACACAGATTACCTCTCGCCCCTCGATCGGGGAATCACAAGCCATCAAGGCGCATATAACACTGAGCGCTCACGTGCGCATACAGACGTGTGGAAGGAATTTCAAGAGTTATATCTCAAGCTGAATCAAGTACGCACAATAAGAGTTCCAAGAATGTGAAGTTTTCCTAAAAGGTTCTGCAGCCTCTCGAGGATAAATACAGGCGTCTCCGTACCGATCCGCGAGACTCTACTAAACCTGCTCATGACTCGTGAGACCTAGTAACTTAGGCTCTGATACCAACTTGTCACGACCCAATTTCCATACCCGGTCGTGATGGCGCCTCTCGTGAAGACAAGGCCAGCCAACTAACCCAATCCGTTTCTTTAACAATTTTTGAACATAAATGAATAGGTGAATATAGCTTAACGACAATAATAACCAGTATGTACAACCCAACACAACCCGACCGGGGTGTCACAAGTCACGAGCATCTAAAGAAAACCTTAACACAACTACATGCCAATAAATATATACAAGTAAAGTT